AGTCGATCCATGGGATGGGGTGGTAGCTCGGGGATCAGGAGGCTGCTGGGCAAGGATGAGCTCAGGTGGCTGGTGCGCCATCCACCACTGGAGGAAGAGGAAAGGGAATGAGGCGGGCCGAGGTGGGGGCTCCAGTGGGGTAGGGGCTCATAGATGGGGGAGCTGGATGGGAGAGCCACCCGAACAAAGTGGACACTCACTTGGGGATGCCCTCGTAGGCCTGGTCATCCTCTTCTTCATCCCCTTGGTCGTCCGACAGTTCCTCCCCCTCGCTCAGCAGACTGGCCACACGCACGGCACGTGGGACTTGGCTCACTGGAGGCTCCTCCTGCCCCCCGGGCCAGACCCACTCAGTGTCATGTTTCCCTTCAAGCCCCAGATAACACCTACTCAGGGGCTGCCACACTCCCTTCTGTCCACTCCATTCTGGACCCACACAACTTAGCACTCTTCCTCATTTCCTCACACTCCCCTCTTCCCACTGGCAGACTGCACAGGGGCCGAGGGAGACAGGGCCACGCCAGGCAGATCAAAGACAAAACAAAACAAAAATAGAAAGACTCAGGGGTGGAGAGTTAAGACACTCAGAGAGAGGGTGACACTGAAACACAGAAAGTGAAACAAAGACAGAGGGACAGATCTCTACAACAGCTATGCTCAAAGCACCAAGGAGAGAAGAGGCCATCCACAGCCATCCACATGCAGCTGAAGACTGGAGCTAGAGCCACAAACCAGACCCCCCAGATTTCTGGCCCAGCATTGGGATTTGGGACCCTGTGCCTGACCCCTGACCTTGCATGGCAAGACAATGAAGGGGGAAGGGAACTCTCCTGGAACAGTTGCCCATTCTCTATCTGGTGGTCCCCAGGGCCTGCAGGCAGCTGAGCAGCCTGGCCTCACACTGAGAGCAGACAGCCCTAACCACCACCTGCCTCACCTTCTTGGTCATCACGCCAGCTGGGGCTCCTGGCCCCTCCTCTGGGGTCTCATCGTAGTCAGGGTCATCTGGGGAGAGAAAGGGGTGGGGGGAGACTTAGAAGCAAGGAGCCTGGCCTCCCCTTCCGGGCCCCTGGGCCTGGCTTCACAAAGGCCATCCTCAGCCAGAGACCCCCACCCCCAACTGGCCTGGCTTTCAAAAGAAGGCACAGGGGACAGGAAGTGCTATTTATACTCTTGGAACCTCACAGGACGTCACTAGGGGGTGCCTGGCCACCACAGGGAGGTCTGAAGAGGTGGCAAGCTTGGGGATCAGGGGCGGGAACTATTCAAAAAAGCAACATGAATTGCCATAACCGGTTTGGCTCAGTGGATAGAGCGTCGGCCTGCGGACTGAAGGGTCCCAGGTTCGATTCCGGTCAAGGGCATGTGCCTGGGTTGCGGGCGCATCCCCAGTGGGGGGTGTGCGGGAGGCAGCTGATCGATATTTCTCTCTCATCGATGTTTCTAACTCTCTGTCCCTCTTCCTTCCTCTCTGTAAAAAAATCAATAAAATATATATTTAAAAAAAAAAAAAAAAGCAACATGAATTGAGAATCAAGAGAAGTGGACAATCCTCAGGGGCAAACCAACCATGACCATGGAAAACAACCCCCCTCCCCAAACCATGGGCAACTCAGAAAGTTTGCCATGTGCCTGCACCTGGTCAGATAAGTAGGTCAAATAAGTGGGTGCTGCCCCCATTTTGAGAATGAAGGGAATGATGCTTACCTGTCCAGGGCCACACTGGGGGTCAGTGGCAGGGCCCAACTGAACAGGGGATGCAAACCTTGCATCCTTTCAGATGCAAACTTTGCATCCTTTCAGATGCAAGGGCCCGAGCCCAGGGCACCCACTCGGAGCTCCAGGCCTGGCTATGGCACTCACCGAACTCTGGGAACCGGTGAAGAGGCTTTGGGGGGATATCTGGGAGGCTGGGAGACGGGGGCTGGGGGAGGCTCCCGGGGGAAGGTGGCCGGGGACTCCTCAGGTTCTGGCTGAGGAGAGGTTGACAGTGGTGATGACAGTAACTCCTCTTCTTTGTAGGGAGGGCTAGAAACAGACCAAAAGTTGGACAGTAAGGGGTTAGCTCAGTGCCGCTGAGTCACTGGGCCAGCATCACCATGCGGATAGAGCCAGGACTCAACCCACTGGGCCCCAGCTCACCTGAGCTCAGCAAAACTCATTCATTCCAAAAACTCAGACAGGAGCCCTCCTCCACACAGACCTCCTTGCCACACTCCCCCGGCCCACACCCTGCAAGCTCCCCAAAGCCTAAAGGAAGCAGGCACCTCCCCTGGCTGCAACGCTGTGACATGGTCACCTGTCCCAGAGCTCTAGCTTTTAGCCACATGCACCCCTCTAAGAGAGGAATGAAGACCAGAATGGCGTGCCCTAGCGGTTTGGCTCAGTGGAGAGAGTGTAGGCCTGTGGACCGAAGAGTCCTGGGTTCGATCCCGGTCAAGGGCACATAGTTCTGTTGCAAGCTCCTACCCGGCCTGGGCCCTGGTCAGGCCTCGTGCAGGAGGCAACCAATCGATGTGTTTCTCTCACATCAATATTTCTCTCTGTCTTTCTTTCTCTCTTCCACTCTCTCTAAAAGTCAATGGAAAAATATCCTTGGGTGAGGATTTAAACAAAAAGACCAGAATGGCATGTGGGTGGTTTACATCCTAGCCTGGGGAGTCAGGGAAGGCTGGACGAGGTGAGGCTTGAGCTGAGCTTCTAAGGATAAGATGTCGTATGTTGGCAAATGGTTGAGGGAGAAATGAAATGGGCGTTGAGGCCAAGGGAGCAGATCAGAGCTTCAGAAACCAAGTCCGGAGGCCCCGAGTCGTGGGTCTCTGACCTTCTCTCTTGTCCCAGACACAGATATTCACCAACCCCAGATGCCCCAGACCTCGCAAACTCACCTGATCCCACCCCACTCCTCTTAGAGCACACCATTTCCCCACCTCTGCTATCGCTCCCCCAGGAACCCTTCCCCGACTCTCCTTCGCAGACCCCTGGGCTCCCACAGCCACAGCACTCCTGTCTCTGTCTTGGCACAGATCAGACTGCTCCCTGCAGGCTGAAAGTCTCCCAAAGGGCTCTGGCACCAGAGATGTGGGTTAGAACCTTGCCTCGTTCTTAGGTCCTGTGTCCCAGGGTAAGCAACTAGCCTCTGTGAACCTGTTTCCTCTTCTGTAGAGTGGGGACTCTATTTCCAACCTGCCAGGGTGGTTGGAGGATTAACCAAGACAAGGAGAGTCGGATGCCAACACACAGGATGCACAGGGGCCACCAGTTGGAACAAGATGCCTGAGCCTTTACAGCCCTGGCCCCACCCACTGCCTCTGCTAGTGTCCAGCAGGGGCCGAGGAGGAGCACCAGAGTGTGTGGGCAACTTTCCCCACGGGTTATTTTCAGCCTGGTCTATTGCCCAACGTTCCTGGCAGTGACTGACTACAAAAGCAAGGAAGGGCTGGGGTGTGACCATGATGTCAGCCTTTGTTCCTGCTGTTGCCTCCTCCAAGAAAATCCTTCTCCCTGGTCTCTGCCTGGGGAACAGCTACTTATCCTTTAACTCCAAACTCTGAAAGTTTTCCTGGCGCCTCCTTCATGCTCCCCCCGTCCCTGCCCATGTTTCCTTCTGTATGAGCTTTAGACCATCGTGCTGACATCTCAGCCAGGAACTGACCCCTGAATCGACAGTCTATGTGCTTCTTAGGACACATGGCTACTGCCGCATCACCACTAACCGTCTCTTCTCCATGTGTGAGCAAAGAATGAATGAAACTCTTCCTTTCTGTGTGAGAAACTGACCTTCAGCTAGCTTCCTTCCTTATTCTGTTCCCCTAGAAACCTGCCAAAGGTGGCATGTCAGCCATGTTCTGAGGTGACACTGCCGTTGGCGAAGGTGGCCTGAGTGAGGAACCGCACTGAATGGGGAGAAACTGTAAGTCAGGGGTCCTCAAACTGCGGCCCGCCGAAAACATTTATCCGGCCCGCCGGGTGTTTTTGCCGCCGCTGCCTGTTGCTTAGCAGCGACTAGTGTTTTTTTTAAACTATAGTCCGGCCCTCCAACGGTCTGAGGGACAGTGAACTGGTCCCCTGCTTAAAAAGTTTGAGGACCCCTGCTGTAAGTGGTTGCCACGGTGAAGAAGCAGGAGCTTTGGGCTCCTCTGAATGTGGTGGCTTGTACTGGGCACATCCCATGCAGAGACCTAAACCCGCACCAGTGGGGTTTTTACAAGACATACTAGCCCCTTGGGGCAAGACTTTCTAAGTCAGAGTGGCTCCCACACCTGTCCACTGTGGGTCTCAGTGCCCCCTGAGCTGTCCCCTAGAAGGTCACAGAGAATGGCTCCTATCCAGCTGTGTGAACAGTGGCACTGACTGCCATGAGGACCCCACAGCAAAGGAAAACCTGCCGCTGCCCTGGTGGCCAGCTGTTCCCTTCCTATGTGCTTCTCGGGGAATCTGATGCCACAGGGGCTCATGTTAGTCTTATGGGCATGAATGTTCAGCTGGACCTGAGAAGATGCCCTGTGGGTACTGCACCAGGCATCTCTCCAACTTGATCCTGAGTCTCTTTAAGGCAGGGGCAGCATTGGACTTCTTTATCCTCACAGCCCAAGTACAGGGCGTGGCTGAGTCAGCAACAAGAGCATGTTGAATGAGTGGGTGGGTGAGCAGACAGACGATGAATGGACGACAGAGTAAGTGGGTGAATGGATGGATGGGTGAATAGGTAGGATGGATGGGTGAGGGTTGGGAGGAAAGCAAATCAAAGGGCGAATGATGACCAAGAGACTGAGTGAGTCCTTAAAGGCCCAAGGGTGCAATGCCCTTGACCTCTCTCGACAGGCAAGTCACACACAGCCTCCCAGACTCTAAGAAGAGGCCCTTGAGGGCCTGGCCTGATCAGCTGAGAGCAGAACTCCCAAGTTGTCAGGCCACGACCAGTCAGACTGGCCCAGAGGAGGTAGAGACAGGTTCCACCCCTTCCAGCCAAGCAGGGCTGAGTGGGCCTGGTTTCCCAGCCTCCCCCAGGACTGAGAGCCAGCACTGAAGGGAAGGTGGTGGCAACACAGCATCCTCAGAGCCCAAGCAGCCTCGGTCCTACCACCTCTGGCCCCCAGTTCTCCCCCAACACCATCCTGCCCATCTGCCCATCCTGAGGCCTCCCTAGCATGTGGGCTCCCTGAGGCAAATGCCACACTACCTTATGCACTATGGTGAGCCCAGCACTCAGCAGGGATTAGGAAGTAAGTGAACACCTAGATTAATATTGTGTGTGTATATGTATTCCCAACAGTCTTCAAAGTATTTCATATGAATTAATTCAGCTACTCATCACAAGGGCTCTACAAGGTATGGCTTACTGTTCTCTCCACTTTACAGCTGAGGAAACTGAGGCACTGGGGCACAAAGTAATTTGACCTCCATCCCACAGCTGGGATTTACACCCAGGTAGTCTAGCATCACAGCCTGCAAGTTCCATCACCACAGCCAGGATCTGAGGGCTTCTCTGAGGCTGACCTCCTCACGCCCCACCCAAACTCAGAATCTAGGCAGCTCTGGAGCTGATGTTTGGTCCAAGAGGGAATGTGATCACAGCTCTGACACTTGTTGTGACTATGGCAAGAAGGGAGAGGTAACAGGTGCAAAGGGCTCTTCTTCCAGCAGAGCCTTCACAGGAAAAGGACTATGTGCCAAGAAGGCAGGAGCAAGGGGGCCCCTCATAAACCTCCAGACTTCATTCTAGCCACCTCCTCCAGGAAGCTCCTGGCTCACCCCTGCCTGCCTACCACAGGAACAAGGCTGTGCTGAGTCAGGGCCCAGAAAAGGAGAAGTGGTGTCAGGAAAGCACAGCAAGTGGGAAAACCCCAGGGGAAGGCACAGAGTCCATAGAGTGCTCCAGCCCCAGCTGGAATCCTGGCCACTCAGTGCCTGCAGGCCCAAGAACAGCCCCAGCTCCAATCTGCAGCTGAGGCCCAGCTGGAATGTTTCCCACTGACCGCTGACCCACAGACCAGAAGATCAGCCCCAACCCTAAGCATGTGCTTGCTCAGTGTCCGACTGGTACACCTTTGCTCAAATGGCTCCCTCTTCCTCACAGCCCTCTCCCTACCGTCTCTGTCCATGGAAAGCCCATCTGTATACAAAACACAAACACAGCTCAACAGGCCTGGCCTCTAGGCAGCCTCCAAGATACCGATGCAGAGCTGCTTTCCCCAGCCCCGACCCATGGCTCCCCTGCTCTGTCAGCCCCTTTCTCCTCTATCCAAGTGACATGTGGACCCCTCTGCTCTCCCCACTATGCCCATAGCAAGACTGGGCACTCATGGGCAGGGGCTGATCCACCCCAGCCTGGGCCCTCAGTCTATGTTTAAGGTTTGTCTTACTGGATTAGGGCAAATACACACAGCCTACTTCACACGTAGGGGTTGGGACACATGTGAGGGTCCCAAGCCAGAATGGGTAAGAGTAGGGGGACCATATAATTAGTTGCATACACCAGAACATTTCTGAGAGGCACTATTAACTATGTCATGCCAACAGATGTAAATAGGGCCTGTAGCAGAAAATGAGATGTGTTTGTGTGGTCGCTCTCGCTAACAGAGCTTTGGAGCCAGCAGACCTGGGCTGCAATCCCAGCTTGACCACTCATCAGTCTGTGACCTCACAAAGCAGGTCACTTCACCTCTGAGCTTCAGTTTCCTCTCTGATCTGCTTCTGAGGTTACTGATCATTCAGTAAGGAGAGCCACCCCCACATGTCATCAGCACAACCCTCTCACCCTGGCTATGGCTGAAGGAGGCTCAGGCCCTACAGGTTGGGCCAGAAACCTACCTGCTTCATAGTCTCCTTCTCCCTCAGGGTGGCCCTTGACTCTCCCTTCATATCTTTCTGTCTACATCAATCTCTGGCCAAAGGAACTAACTCTCACCATAGGGGCAGGTGGGCCGCAGAGCAGGGCAGTCTGAATATCTCAGGCTGGCCTTGAATTCATCCCCCACTCACATTCCAGCCACCCTTGACGGAGCTGCACTCCATAAATGCATACT